TCCGATATTATATTGTATTTGGCAGAAAATATAACATTTTCCAATTTCCATCTTGTCGGGACGTGTTTGTGCTAAAGGGGAAAGTTAAGAAATTAAGGTTCAAACAAAGTAATTAAAGAAATTCGAGGAGTGCAGCTGCAACTTTCCGTGATAGACATGAAACAATTGAACACAATAAATAATAAATAAAATTCATCAAGTTCATATAAGTGCCGACTCCTCAAGCTCCACCGTCCAACCGGCCAGTAGCCGCCGCCCGACGGCAGTCCTGCCGCCATTTATACCTCGGTTTTTTCCACTCTTTTACGCTCTGATTTCCCGTTTCTGTTGGATTTCAATTTTTCCTTCGAAAAACGGCTGCTGGAAGTTTCGGGTTTATGTATGAACTCAGCAGTCCTTGTTTTATTAGCTTCAATTTGAATCTAGAATTGGAATTTATCAAAAAAAATAGTATTGTATTTATTTAGTGTTTATTTGTAGAGATTTTTTGAAGTGAAAAATGATTTTTGTGAGAATGTGCAGTTAAAAAGTAGGGTGTTCAGTTATGAATCCGCGAGCAAAAATTGATTTGTGATTGAATACGAGTTTTGAGGGGAAATGATTGGAAAATGAGTTTGAGGAAAAATGATTTTCAAATAAGCAGTGGCAAACAAACGTTTACTGCATTTTATGTCTACATGTAACATGTGTAAGATGACAGATTAGTCATAAGGTATAGAAGAAATAATTGATGCAATATGAGTTCTTCACCTTGAGCATTTGGGAATTCTCTGAATTTACTGCGCCATTTAATGTTCTCGCCTTGACAGCGTTGTCTCACCATTTGCACATTCACAATTTAGTAACTAATGCTTTATGATATTATAATCAAGTTAACTTACTCTTAACGAGTAGAATACTGTGTTGCAGCTCACTGTGGATAAAGAGTAACACACATGAATAGCAGCAGTAACAGACAGAGAAACCTTGGGGGTGGGGTTCAATACATAATGGACTATCTGAAACGAATGCAAGCAGAGAATCCAGCTTTCTTTTACGCAATTCAGGGTGATAATGAAGAATCCACAGGAAATATTTTCTGGGCCAGTGCAACTTCAAGGATGAACTACAACTACTTTGGGGACACTGTTAGAGTTGATACAGCTTATAAGACTGACCACTATAAGGTACCTTTTGTCACATTCACCGGTCTAAATCATCATGCTCAGCCCGTCCTTTTTGGTTGTGCATTGCTTCTCAATATGTCTGATGATTCATTAATCTGGCTCCTCCAAACATGGCTCCAAGCAATGTCCGGACGCCACCCTGTCTCCATGATAACTGACCCTGATCAACTCATTCAGATGGCAGTGGCGCGAGTTCTTCCAGAAACACGCCATCGCTTTTGTAAATGGGGTATATTTAGAGAAACACAGGAGAAACTGGTGCATGTATGTCAAACAAGTCCTACATTTTATATTGAGTTAAAAAAATGTGTCAATGAAGTTGAGACAGCTGAGGAGTTTGAGTCACAGTGGGCAGCCCTCCTGGAGAGATTCTACGTCGTGGATAATGAATGGCTTGAGGCTATGTATAATGCACGTGAACAGTGGGTCCCTGTCTATATGCGGGACGTGTTTTTTGGGGAATTGTTCCGAGTGGAACACAGTGAGACCAGAAATTCATTCTTTGATGGGTTTGTGGATGCATCCACCACTATACAATCATTCTTTAAACAATATGAACAGGCTATATCAGGCTGGCATGAAAAGGAATTGAAGGCAGACTTTGATACTACTAATACTGCACCAGTTTTGAAGACGCCCTCACCTATGGAAAAACAAGCTGCTAACCTCTACACAAGGAGGATATTCATGAAATTCCAAGAAGAATTGGTCGAGACTCTTGCTAATCCTGCAACTAAAATTGATTGCTCAGGAACAGTCACAACATATCGGGTAGCCAAATTTGGGGAAGAGCACAAAGCGCACACTGTTCAGTTCAACGCATTTGAGATGAAAGCTAACTGTAGCTGTCGGATGTTTGAATTTTCGGGTATCATTTGCAGACATGTACTATCAGTATTTAGAGCAAAAAACGTTCTTACACTCCCTACTGAGTATGTATTGAAACGTTGGACAAGAAATGCAAAAAGTGGTGGTGGAGATGGTATGAGTGAACATGCTTCCCAGCTGCCTTGTAATTATAGGGAGTCTGTAAATGTTCGTTATAATAATCTACGCCAAGAGGCTGTAAAATTTGTAGAAGAAGGTGCAAAATCCATACATGTATATAATGTTGCAATGCATGCTCTACAAGAGGCTGCAAAGCAGGTTGCTGCTGCTAAGAGTAAAAGTCCTGGAGCCACGCAGGGAACCAATTTTGCAAATGGAAGCAATCAAGAAAATCATGGAGGCAAGGAAAATCAAGCAGCATCATATTTATCCATGGTTAGATACTTCAGACTTCCTTTCTCTTTCTACACTACAAGGAATTATCATGTTAACTTCCTAGAGTCTAGAGATTGTATATTCTGTTATTTCTTACTCGTTTTAGTTTTTTGTGGTGTTACAATTAAGGAAAATGTAGATATGAATGCTCTTAAGTGGTCCTAAATATGAAGCACTTAAATTTCATGAATTTCTGGATGAATATTTTTTTGGTTAGGAAGCTGTATGCATATTTGCTAACTGTAAACTTCTAGATCTTACTTGTTTATAGAATATGGATAAAGAGTAAGATATTGAGTTTCAAACTATAGAATCAAAATATTTAAATAATTGTGTTTCAAACCATAGAATCAACATATTTATTTACGTAATGTTCGAAAAGGCTTAATTGTGTATTGAGGCATTTTATCGCAGTGAGACAAGGTGTAAGCTTGAGACAAACCAATAAAATACTCAAAAGAATATAGAAGCACTAAAACATGGTTAAATAAACCATGAATCATCTAAAAAGTTCATACTCAAATAAATTAACAACATTAATGGTATGACTTGCAAACAAACACGAAGAATAGCAATATAGTAGCAAGAATAGATTCTCAAATTAGTAATAACAAAATTGTGTTCTACTACAAGTAGAGAGTCTAGAAGTCTCCTATGCCATCACTACAATCCTTAAGAGAATAATTTATTTGATTATTTGATCATCCTCCATTACTATTGAGATTTTTCTTATTCGTCCTTATCATGCTCCACTTGCAATGTTGCACTTCCTTCCCTTTCCCTTCTTTATCAATTCAAAGGCATAAAAGACAAAATAAAAGAACCCATGAATTGTTGTAGCTAGAAAGAAAATATCTAAAAAAAACTTGAGGTCAGTGATAAAATGCCCAAAAGGCAATGCATAGCTTTAAAGTCTAAGTTGAGGCGTAAGCCTCAAAAGTTTTTTAGAACAATGGTTTAACATCGAAATAAAGATATGGAGGGGAATACTTAGTCTAAGAGATAGTGTGGCTCATATGCTAGAGCTAATAACGGTGGTCCAAGTGGAAATTTTGGGATTTATGGGCTACTTGGTGGCAACTTTTGGAACATGGATTCATGAAAAATTATAATTATATATATTTAAAGTTGGACATATATATCAGTGAGGTTAGAGGTGGTATTATGGGGTCCTTTGGGCAGCTTAAGCTTGTGAAGGGTTAATGTGAATTCCAAGTTTTAAATTCTCGAGTATCACTAAAATTTTACTCAAGATTTCAAAATAACATAAATTTGTATGTAATCATCGATGCAATAGAAAGACTAATGATTAAAAATAATAATAAATTTTGATAATGACTTAAATCCATTACATAAAAAAATTTACTCCAAAATTATTCCTTGAACATAGTTAATAAATCTTGCTCATTAGCCGACTCCTCTCGTCTGTCTCAAACACATAGTTTCCTGTAAGGGGCTTCAAGGGGTGAGATATACTCTAAGCATACACCACAAATTTGCAAATCATGTTAAAATTTCATAAATTGATTACATCATAATATACATAAAGAAGGCACAAGAAAAAACTGAACTTAGGTGGTAGAGATTTTTTGTGCATTGTGTTACTAAACTTTAATATTCTTATCCTGAACATATTCATATAGGACCCATAAGTTTTATCCTAATAATAGTAACCTCATAATAATAGTAATACCATATAAAAATTACTTAAACATACTTATTTGCTTGGAATTAAGATGATGTGTGAAAAATCCTTGAAACAACTCAACTTTTGCCCTTGGTTTGTTAAATCAAAAGTACTTTAGTGGTGTATTTGCATGTGTATATGCACGTGACAGGAAAGAGAGATGTGTGTCATGCAGTGTGGTGGATGTGCTAAAGTAGTGACTATATTTATAGGTTAAGAAGAGATTGATTAATGAAGTTAACTTTTGATTATGAATATTTCATTTTTTTGCAATGGTGCAAAATTCTTTTGAAAAACATTTGATTACTTGATCATATAATTATGGTATCTATTTATGTATAATGCACATAATGCATAGCTAAAGCAACCATGTATATGAAAATTGGCTGTTTGTCTTTTGTATATGTTTAATATATAAAGTAAATTAAAATCAATGATTTATTAGTGCATTCCGTTATTCATTTTGTAGAATACGTTATTGTACACTAATATATATTTATGTATTAAAGCATATAATACATAAACCATATATTTGGTTTGCAATATCAATTTCTAATCTTTCCTTAAAACCCTTTTAATTAAGCCCCTGTGTTGACAACCATTAAAATGAGATTTTTTTTTCTTTTTCTTTTTTTTTTTTTTTTTTTTTTTTTTTTTTTTTT